GGCGGCCGGGGGCCACGCGAGGGGGGGAGGGGGAGGTGGCGCTGGCCTATAAATCGGAGCAGCGGAGGCTCTGGGAAGCCGGGAAGTGTAGGGGGAAGGGTAGGAGCGAGATCGCAATCCGAAAGAGGAGGGAGACGATGACATTGAAGAGGACAGGGCAGGGGGGGCTGACTGAGCTCGGCTGTGCACTGTCCCAGTGGCAGCGCACCTTTGTGCCTGCGGTATTCGGAGAGGACGCCTGTGGCGTCAGAAGAAGGAGCACCCAGAGCCGCAGGGCTGCTCCTGACAGGGCAGCTGGTCTAGTTCTCAGCCGTCACCTGCACTGTCCCGTGGGATGTGTGCATCTAAACCACCTCTGCTGGTGTTTGTCACCAGTCAGTTCGAATTTGCAGTCTTTCACACCTTTCTGCTGTTCTGAGGAGTGGAACAGAAACGAAGCGTTCACGAGATGGAATGCATTATGACCCTTAGGGTTATTGAGGTTTTAGAACGCGTAAGTGGCATGGGTTTCGATTGAATTTGAGTCTGTAATATCTTTTCAGGCAGTCGTGTGGACTCTCCAGGATCATCTCCGAGGCGGTAGAGTGTCAACTGAAGTTCAATGTGGGCTTCTAAAGTTGATTCTTAGTTCACATCTAGCTGTACTTGGTAGCTGACCGCCAAGACCTCTTCACTTCCCTGCTCTGATCCTGAGCGTTTTAATCTCCAAAATGGAAACATCTGTCTCCCAGTTCTTGCACAGAATAAACATCAATACTGATGAAGCGCTTCAAAACCAAAACCTCACATTTAGCAATAGCTATTAAATAATTACTTACTGATGGGTTAAAAGTGTTACAGCATGTTAAGTCAGAGTAGTGGTTGGCTAGTTATGGATGTTTTGAGGGGAGAATGTTCTGTAGTGATGAAAAAGTTCTTTATTTTGCTAAGGGTATGGGTACAGAAATAACACACATTTGCCAAAATTCATGGTAATGATACACTTAAAAATTGTATGTCTTAGGGTAAATTTACCTCAAAAAGAACATAACGAGAAATCACTGAAGAGTATTAAAATTTAAAAACAAAAGGCATTAAAAATATCATTAGAGCTGAAGTTTATAATAAAATATGCTAGACTCAATCTCCAGATTTTTTTTTTCAATGATAAAAGTGAGACCTTAGAGATGTCATAGTAAAAAGGGAGGGTATGTGAGTGAATCAATGACCCGGCCATTTTCCAGTAACAAATGATTCTTGAGAGATTGTGGTTGAAAATAGCAAGCTACTGTGATATAACCAGTCAGGGGTTCCCGGTCCACAGAGAATCTGTAGAAATTGCCTCCGAACCCTTGTCCACTTCTTGTGGAAAGGCCATTGTCCTCTGCATGATTCCACAGTCCATGTGAGTTTACAATGCAGGCTCACTTCCAGCTGTCAGCCTCGCTTTCTCTAAACACTTGGCCTCCCTTACATCTCACCTGCAACTCCTTTCTCTCTCTACTCCTGCTGACTTCATAGCGTGCAAACAAATCAAACCCCTTTTCTCTGGTGGTTTGTATAGCAGACGCTTCTGAAGGTTTGGAGCAGCTGAGGGGTTTTAAATGAAAGATGCAAAAAAACCCTAAAATTAGAATCCCCTACTTTTAAAAGTCTTTCAGTTGTCTCCATGGTATTTTTATCCTCCAACCTCCATCCCTTCAGCATGTGTTACAATCTCCTGCTATCCACCATCTCTCTGGTCCCAGCTCTCCCCTACTCACTCTCTCTATACTATTTTTAGTTCTCTGGCCCCAGCTCTCCTTCCCTTTCCTACACACTATTTTTAGTTTTCTCTATCTTTTAATCTATGCCATCTTGACTGCCTATCATTCTAATCCGTTTAGCAAAGTACTGGGTCGTCGGAAAAGTCATGACACATTTATGCATAGAAAAACAGACATCATGACTTTTCCAGTGTCCCAATATCTTTCTGCAGAGAAAGTACTTTTCCCAAGAAGAACTCTCATGACAACTATTAATAGTATTTTTTACCACAGTATATACATAGTCTATTTGATTCAGCTCATAGTATAGTTAATAAATAGTAAGCATCTTATGTATGTGACCTTTCCAGGCTACCTTCATAGGGGGGTCAATTATATGCGATAATAGTGACTTACTCTATATAAATGAGGAGGCAAGTTAGCTAGAATCTGTTACCTAGGATAAGAAAAGGAACCAAAGTCTATGTAAGCATGGCTTATATTATGCAAAAGAAATGACAGCATTTAAGCCGTGAAGTCTGGAACAAAATCTGATTATTAAAGCATAATGACATCTTTAGAGAAGCGACACCTGGACATGTCTTCTGTAGCAGTTTGGTCACAACTCCGCGTATGTAATGAGCATACAAACAGAGGCTCCATTACTTCTGGAGAAGATGATACTGATCTGTTACCAACTGAACACATGTTTTTGTAGTAAGGATGACAGGTTCACCTGATCCATCTATCCTTCATCTAGTTTCCTTGTGATCAGCGGCTTGTATTTTTGCAAAGCAGCTGGCCAAGGTTATAGCACAGTGCATGGCCATGAAGAAGTCTCCAAATGTAAGTTTCCAACGCATAACACTGCTCATTTTTTTGAAGCCAGGGCCCCAGAGAATCAGCTCAGCAGGACAAGCCACTCGAGAATGGATGATAGCAGATACAGCAAACAGCTGCTCCACAGTGAGCTGGAGGTAGGTAACTACGCGGTGGAAGACTGCGCCACTGAAGCACAGCCTTAAGTGCCTCGCATGGCTACGGACAGCTGGGATAACATAAGGACCCGCAAGAAACTAGTCGATACTTTAGACCCATTCAAGTGATAAACACACTGATAGAGCTAAAAAGAGTGGCAGATTTATCCACCAAGGTAGGCTGTGTGGTCAAACTCATCGAAGAGACGGTGCACCTGGTTCCAAGTCAGAGGGTTTTCTCAGTTCTGTCGTGGCTGCTGTAGCATTCTGCTTTACTCACTACTCTCCTGGGTGCTTTGTGACCTTGGTTCTTCAAAGCTGTCAACCAGACTTCACTGTGTTATTCACCAGTTCTATCTGCTCCTTAAATGTAGAGACAGTTCTGGAGGTTCGTTCCCTATGCTCATTTCCAATGTCTCAGCTCTGGTTGACACTCGATTTCTCATGCAGTTCTGATCTCCAAGTTCTAGTGCTGACCAGACATGTTGCTGCTTCCTTCCTGTTCTGTACCTTCTGTTGTTTTTTTATTTTTTTGGAGAGGTTTTCGCTGTAGGGCACATGTGCTCACCAGAAAGACAGAGTCAGAGAGATAGAAAGCGAGAAATCACCCCCCAGGGGGGATGGCCATGCCGCAATCCCTTCTCCTCCATTCTCCTCTCGGGATCTTGGGCATGCATGCACACGCACCCAGCGTGAGTTTAAGCCACCAGGTCCGGGACTTGAACCACAGTCGACTACATGGGAGTCCACCAACATAGCCATTACATTAACTGCTGCTCCCCCTTCTGTTGTTCTCTTCACATGAGATGCCATCCTCTTACCTCACCTAAATTCTACTTACTCTGCAAAAACTTAACCGATGCCTATACAGATCACTCCTGATCACAATCACATCCTCTTGCTCTGCAGTCACAATATTTCCTTCCTATATCATTCACTTGACAGCTACCCATACTGCCTAGTGGCAGCTGATCTATTGTTTGCTCATTGGCTTTTGTCTTTTCTGCTCACTATATTTCAGGCTTCTCTGATGTATGTTTCTGGGTATTCCCAAAAGCATCTTTATAATGCTTTACATATAATAAGTACGTGGTGAATATATTTGATTGATGGTTCCTTTTTTCCTTAGCAAAACCTCCTCTATCTGGCAGTTCTCACCCTTCTATCACTGTGCAAGTATCTTGCAGCCTCTTCATTTACATGGATGTCCCTGAAGCCTGTGGAAGTGTGGGTTGCCATATGTATTCAGTGGAGGGCTACCTTGGGAGTAATTCCTTTTTTCTTTTTTTCAAATTTTGCCAGAGGGTCCATATACTCACCAGAGTGAGACAGAAAGAGAGGGGGGGGAGAGATAGCACTCCCTATAGGGGATGGTCATGTCCCCATTGGGAATAGTCATAACACACTATAGGGGATGGTCATGTCCTCATTGGGAATAGTCATAACACACACAAAGTAAAATGACTTTGGAAAGTTTGGCAAAAACAGATATTCTTCTCCTAGATACAGCCTGAGAGAAATTAAACACTCGTCTACACACAAATTTGTACTTCTATATCTCTCCCTCATTTTGGGTACACATGTACATGTGTCATTGTGTTTTTTAGGACTGAAACCACACAGGCAGCTATGTGGGATCTGGTCACCTTAACCACTGGGCCACAGGCTGGCCCAGGAGGCAATTCCTTCAAGTCACAGGTGCTGTGGAAGAAGTTCAAGAGGGAAGATCCATTGAATTCCAATGCTCAGTCCCCACCACACATGAAGATCTCCCAGAGTAATTTCCCTCACAGCCAATTTTAGGTCATGAGATCAACAAAATAAATCTCTTCCAGCTTTGTAATATTTCAGCTGTGATAGGGTAAGGTAGAAGGAAAGCTAGAATAGGAAGCAATTGAAAATTGAATTCAGGGTAAAGAATGGTATGATAGTTATTGAGCTATTGTCTTTCAGCTTCAGACTTCCCCTTCATCCTCTGCTTTGTGTTGGTGGGGCTGGACCTGTGCAAACCACACTTCTCCTTTGTCATCTGGCTGCAGAGACACTAGAGGAGAGGAGCATGAGTGGGGAGGGAACAAGTTGTTTCTTCCTCTTGCCCTCATGTGTTTGTCAGTTTCAGCCTAATGATGGCCTTTAATCTGTCTCCAGTCTCTTTGAAGTTTACTTCTTCCAGAGACCAATAGTCCCAATAAAGTCTTCATGCCACAGTCTGCCCCCAGCCTTAGCAGGCCTGGATCACAGGCATGTGCTTATGTTCCCGGTGTGTTCAGGGCAGTCCTGGGATGTGAACCCAAGACCTTTCCCATGTGGGTTTAGTGGCATTATCACAGTGCCACCCCTGGGCTTCTCCACCTTCTTATTGTACTTTGCAAACCAGCCTTATCATGCCTCTTCTCCCTCTGTCCCAGGGCATTATCAGCATCCACTAGGCAGTGTCCCTTTTCTGTTGTTGTTCTTTTTTTTGGAGAGGTTTTTGCTATAGGGCACGTGCTCTCACCAGAAAGACAGAGAGAGACAGAAAGTGAGAAATCACCCCCCAGAGAGGATGGCCACGCCACAATCCCTTCTCCTCCATTCTCCTCACGGGATCTTGGGCACGCACACACACGCACCTGGCATGAGTTTAAGTTGCCGGGTCCAGGACTTGAACTGTGGTCTACTACATGGAAGTCCAGGGACATAGCCATTACGCCAAATGCTGGTCCCAAGGCAGTGTCCCTTTTAAAAGGAATGAATCCCAGCTTGGGACCAGCAGTTGGCGTAATGGCTATGTTAGTGAACTCCCATGTAGTCAACTGCAGTTTGAGTTCCAGACCCAGTGGCTTAAACTCACACCAGGTGCGTGTGGCGTGTCTCTGTCTCTCTCTCTTTTTGGTGAGCACACATGCCCTATAGCAAAAAACCTCTCCAAAAAACAAATAGGAATGAATCCCAGCTCTATGGAACCCCTCCTCTAAACTCCAGAGGTGCCAGCACTAGTCATAGTTCCCCTCTTTAGAAGTCCATGTCAAACTCCAAGGGGTCTCTTTTCCAGACTTCTGGACTCTGACAACCAGCTTCCTCTTCTCTCTGGTCTTCATCCCTAGAAGCAGTAGCTACTGCTTGCAGTTTTTACCTGTGTATTGTTTCAGTGTTTGTTTTAATTTTCCAGTCCTCCAACATCTATCTGACCAATTCCCTGTGCTAAATACTCTGGCTTTTTTTCCTGACTAGACCCTAATATGGATTGTGAGGTAAAATATAGTTCCTACTCTGAGTGTCAAAGGGGTCTAAGAAATCTGCCTCAATAACAGGATTGTTAAGCACTGTGCACTGGGAGCTGGCTCTCGCGTGGCCGACTATGGTTTGAATCCCAGCCCTGGTAACTTGAATAGTACATGGGGTATGTGTGCATGTCCCATTTCCTCATGGGAAGGAGAAATGGAGAAGGGATTGAGATATGACCATGTGCCATTGGGGGGCTGCTTTCTTTCTCTCTCTCTCTTTTGTTCTCAATAAAAAAAAAAAATAAATGCTGCCTCAGAGGAGTGGAGAGTTCTGAGATATAAGTTACCTTGAGTGCCAAAGAGCCAGTCCTAACGTGTAGAAAGAAGGGCAAAGACCTAATTGCAGCTGTCACTTTCAAACCCCAGACCTAACCTGGCCCGTAAGGATCACTCTGCTGAGCCCACAGTTGTCTGCCACAGTTTGGTCTGGCCCAGGCTTCCCCAGAAATCTGACCTCTCTTAAGTAGAAATTCTGCTTCTTTATATGCCATGCTCTCACTCTTTACCCACTAGACGGAGGAAGCCAAAGTTAATGAAGAAAGCCCGGAAGTAAGGGCTAGGCAGTGGCACAGCAGTAAAACATGACACTTTGTGAGGTGACCCACATAAGAAGGTTCCCATTTGACATCTGGAGACTTCCCTGAGTCCTCTCTGAGTCCTCCAGGCACACACGTGCCCATGATCTGGGACTAACTGGGGCTAGAGGTGGATTGTGGCATCTATATCAACAGGATGCTGTCTCTCTCACTCACGTAGGAGGTGAATAAACTTTAAAGGGAAAAAAAGGTCCAGCCTGGTGTGCAATCAGTAGTGAACTGCCCACTGCAAGTTGCATAGCCAACCTGGGCTCAGATCCCTGGGAGGGCCTGAAAACACATCAAGTGTGTGCATACATACGCCCGGGCCCCTGAGGAACTGGAGGACTGGGGAAATGGGATCGTGGTGTGATGAGAGCCTATCAAGGGTGCTTCTCCCTCCCTCTCTCCCTCTCTCTCTCCTCTCTCACGTGCATGCACATGTCTTCCATTATAAATAAAAACAACAACAACAACAAAGGAAGCCAGGAAGTAGTACTGGAGACCTCAGAAAGTGAAGTGGAACTTAATAACTGGAAGGGAAGGATTAGAAGGTAGATTTCCAGGGTGGCAATTTTGTCTCTTTGAGGCTGCTTTCTCTTGCAGACAATATGAGGAGATAATAGATGAGAAGGAAGTGAAACTTAGACCTTATACCTACATTTCTGCCTTCTCCAGCCAAAATGAGACTTTTGCTCTGTTTTATTCATGAACTTACTAGACTTATGCTTCAGTCTCTCATTAGACGTGAGACTCGCTTAATCACATATTTCTAATGAAAACAACTGCTCCATATTTTAGAAATTCAAAACATTTCTTATGTACGCCAAGATAAACACAAAACCTCTTGGCAGTATTCTATAAGGGTTCTCTTCGCTTATGATTTTGTATGTCTTTATGCTAATTTAGAAATATGAACAGGAAAACCAGGACCTGAGGCTGTTAAGTGGATTTGTAACTCTTGGAGTGTTGTGGGCCCATAACTCAATGAATGAAGATCCATAGTCATCCGTGATAGCTGGAATATTAGTACTTTCACTGAGCACTGCAGTAAGTTATCAGGTGTACTCTGCTACATGCGGATATATGAACAACACTTCCTTCACCTGTTTTGGGAACTGGCGTTTGGTAGAGTAACCGTTAACTAAATGTGAATTACTCAG